AAAGCTTTTCCACTAGGGCGCAAGGTTTTTCAAGATCACACTTGTCGTCGGTTTTGACACAAAACACTTTCTCCGACGATCGAGCTACTTTACCATTATTCGTTTTCATTTCGTATTTTTTTCCCCCATTTCTCTTTTGTTTTCTTTACTTTTATCTCTCTCTCTCTCTCTCTCTCTCTCTCTCTCTCTCTCTCTCTCTCTCTCTGTCTTTTATTTTTTTTATTATTTTTTGTTTTTATACATACTTAGAAGTTTTAATCATTAAGGTAGGTATAGAACAATTGGGAATTTTGAAGCAATTAAAAAATATGTTACGAGCCACTGGCCCAAGCTCTCTTATACGCCGAGTTCTCGATTTTAACTTGGTACAATCAACAGCAATGCGTTACTTCATAACAGTTGTATTTTTGTTTCGAGGAGCTGCGTCAAGCGAATTCTAACCGATCCGTAGATATAAACTCGTATGTACCTGTATTATATTTCATCAACGGTATCGTTAAGTCGATCGGTGCGGCACCTCGATTCGGTTGCTCACAATTCTTATCGATTAGCTTTTAATTTACAGTGAAAATTACGCGATGGGATTAAGTCGTCACCATCGTCCCTACGGCCTTTGGCTATTCTTTCCCCACTCCCTAAAAATGAGGTTCATCGCCCCCCCCCCTCTCTCTCTCTCTCTCGTTTATCATTTCTTCCAAACATTCTTTTTTAAATTATGGATGAGTACTTAACACTGATGACATCTATATCGATAATGTCTGCGTCGAATCTCGGAATGGACTCTTTTTTGTTTTATTTTTTTGTTTTTTTTTTTGTATTCTTAATAACGACTAAGAACCTTTTCGTCTTCTGTTATTAATTTTTATTCATTCAATCAGTTTGCTGAGGCCGATAGATCAGACAGAAACATGTATTAATGAATATTTCACACATGCATATATACATACACACGCGCATAATGTATATGTATATATAGAATATGTATAGATACATCAGTTATGTATATCAACGACTTCATCTATACCCTGTGCAATCATTTTTTTTTTGTTCTCTTAATATTTCGACAAATCCTATGTGTTTACTCAGTGTTTGTTTACTTATTTTTCCCCCCTTTCTTAAATCATGTAGTGTCTTTCAAATTAGACCTAGCCTTGTTTCATTAATCAATAATTATAATATTTATATATGTATAATAGATATCTATATATATTTATATTTATGTATAATCACGCCGATGCAGTATTTTACAGCATTGCGTTGAAGTTAGCGTAAGAGGAGCGTCGATTACGCCACACATCGAAACATCGAATTCGCTGCTGCGGCGCGTACAAATTCTACTTTCTCTCACATTGGTGGTGACGCGCCAAACGCAATAGAATATAATGAGGATATATAAACATAACGTTTTCTTTTATATATATATATATATAACGCGATTATAATTAATATTTACGGCGTTAACACAATATTCGGTATCTTCGTTATATGTTCTATATATACGGCATACCGATTATAACTGTATAACGATAAATAGCAATGACTTTGATCGATGTGAGTGCTGAGCACGAGGTCGATTCCGATTTTCATGACTTGAATGCCCTATTTATAATATTATTGATACGATCCTATAATCTCAAATGATTTATTTAAATCACGAATAGTTTAATCGGGGTTTAATAACAATACGCAGCTTAATTGTTTAAATTGCGATATACAGGAAATTGCTAAACAACAAAAAGAACATCGAGGGGTAGAAATTATTTTAAACGTTTGAAGTTTTATGATTTATTTTTTGAAAAAAAAATACTTAATTAAAACTCCATTTCCATATTTACCAATATTCTCATTTCTTTCATGCATTAGTCAAATATGCAATTGTTTATATTTGTATTACAATAGTTTACAGCTTTAAATTATGAGAAAAATGGCGTGGATTGGAATTTTATACAGAAATTCGGAGAAATTTATCAGCTACATAAAATGTACTGAAAACATTAACTTAATGCATACAAAATAAACATTCTCTCGCTTACTCTTTGCCATAGAAAGTGAAATGATTTACAAGAACTTAAACAATTTTAAGCTGATGTACTAAAACATTGTGAATAATAACAATAAAGTTAATAACATTATATTCTCCATATTTTAAAATCTATTTTAATAAAAAATAATTATCATTATTTTGATATTATCTTGGACTGACAAGCTTATATTTTGTTACTGGAATATCAAGAATTTTTTCTAAAGCTTTTATTCGAAAACATCGTAGCAGCCTCGTTCGTACAACTATGTAATGAAAAATTACTTTACCAACTGGTCAAATCAATTTAAACTGCATATATTTAATGATAATCATAAAATTATAGCTAATTAATAAACTTAGATGATATTTGTCGAGCATTATCTGACGCTATTAAACGCCAATTGTTCACTACGAAAATATACAACAAATCATCTGTAAAAGTTAGTATCTGTACTTTCAAGCGATGCACTATTGTACCAGCTATAATAACAAATATGTCTCTAATAAATAAAAATAAAAATAAAAATAATAATAATAATAATAATAATAATAATAATAATAATAATAATTTAAGATAGAAATTTGAAAATGAATGTCAAAAATATTATGTTTAGTATAATAACAATGTATTAGCGATGAAAAAAAGAATGAAAATAACAATTTCAAACATTGCTAATAAATTACTCAATTTCGAAGTTTTTATATAAATCTTTAAAATATTAATTTTAATTAAAACTTTATATCTAATAGTAAAATTTAAAATATTTAAATAGTAAAATTTAAATTTAAAATTACTTTAAAATACCGAATGCACCTGAATTTTTATATGTTTTCTTAATTTTCTTTTTACTCAACTTATCAACATGAATAATTATTTTTATGGCTGGTAAAAGAACGCGTCGATAAAAGTAAGGCTAAGACACGTACACGGTCAATAAAAATTGCATCACGAACATCTACAAGATGCCTTCGTGTTATGACTTATGTTTGATGAGAAGCAAAAATACGATATCCACGATAAACCGTAATGTACTTTTGTATCAAAGAGTTACGATCCCGATATCTTGTTCATCTCAATAAACGGTTCAAGCAACAAAAGCCTAAGTCGAACTCGTGTTAAGCGCAAACACCTCCTCGTGTGATGAAGCTGTTGATCAGTGTATAAAGAACGATGACAGGCGGTCGTTATTTGCATTTTGCATCCATTTTCCAAATTATTTTCGAGACCAAAATGCAACGCTACAACGACTATAAATGACAATACAAACGGTTGAATGCGCATATAGAATTTTACAAAAAGAGGATTAAACAAACGGATCGATCGATTGAAATGAGAGAGATTGAAATGAGAGAAATACAGAGACAGAATTTAAAGAAATAGAAACAATTGGTGAAGTGCATACGTCAAAACAAGTACTCAGCAAAGCTATATTAGGAAGCATACGGTTTAATATACACTCTGCTCAGATGTTAACTTGAACTTTGACTCTTTTCCTTAATTCTTTCATGTTGTATTACCCCCCCCCCCTCTTTCTCTCCCTCTCTCTCT